TAATTTCTAGTCAACATGAGTCATGTAAAATTCTTTCGTTTAAATATTATTCTGAGACTTTGTAATTCGTTACATTTTAGAATGTTGGAATATTTATATTTCCAATATTTCCGTGAGTCAATTATTTTATGGGTGTTTGAATAAATTTAACTGTTTTGATCACTTGATCAGTTTTTCCGATTTTATTTGCGTGTAACTTCGTAAATCATTTCCGATTTATATGTTCGTTTCCCATGATTTATAATTTACTATTTTACAATACAAATAAAATCAAATTGTTACATTATTTTTATTTTGTCCCCCAGCATTATCAAAAGTAATCTTTAAATGTTTTTCACCTTTGTTCAATTTCTTAATTCCATCAAAAATCATACTAAGAGTGCCATTAGGACCTTTTCCTATGATTTCATCTTCATCAAGAACACAATTAATTTGTTCCCTTACTGCTTCATCTTGAATACCAAATAAATGGACTTTACATGGACTAAGGTAATAAATTTTACTTACTTGTTGATCTGAATGTGGCATATGAACATTTTGGGCTCAATCATAACTGTAATGAGCAGTAGCATCAATACTGCAATATTGTGTTTTACCCTTTGAATAATTTTGATCAACTAATTTTCTTTGTTCTTCTGCTAATTTGGTGTTTTTATTATAATAATTTCTTTCTAATCTTGCCTTGGACAGATGTTCTTTAAATCTTTTGAGTAAATCTTTAGCCTCTTCCTCTTGGTGAGCATTGTAATGTAAACCATTTTGAAAATGTTGACAAGTATCACACAAGTCAGTCCTGGGACTCATAATTTGAATCTCTGGTGTCAATTGATGTCATAATTTTCTGAAGGCATCATATTTTAAGGATTTCAAATTATTATCCTCTTCTAGACCAGCCAGAAAATCTCTATTTACTGATTTATAACTCATTTCAGCTGGCAAAAATATAATTGATTGAGTTATTCTATTGAAACTTCTTCCTGGACTTGGTAAGTCACGGACTTCTGCATAATTTTCTAGAAAATTCTTTACTACTTCTGCAACACTTTTGTCAATCACTATTTTAGTCTTTCATTGAGGCATTCTTTTAATATTACCATGAATTCTTAGCAGAATACCATTGTTTATTAGATGATTTCTGATATTTTCAAAATAAGTCCTACCAATTCCCAACATATTAAGATAAGTTTCTTGACAAAGAGGTGTATTGTGATCCCAATGATAGAAAGTTCTTTTATTAGATCTAATTTTCTTTTTAAGACGTCTACTAGTACTTATTGATCCACCATCCATTGCCTTAAGTTGAGCCATTAAAAATATGTCTTGTTCAAACTTGGAAAGAGTCTGAAAGGATTCTCTTAATTCTGAAAATTGTTCTTTGGGAATTCTTGAAGAGCAACCACATTTACATCTCTTTTCTAAAAAATCAATTGCTTTTTTGTTATTCATTAGAACCATTGCATTTATTACTTTTCATATATGGGTAATCCTATATATATAGTTTTATGTTCACTTTGTAGGTTTTTTAAAATTGAAATGAGAGAAAGAACAAAAGGCAAAAAATTAATGAATATTTGCAATATTTTATTTTCATTAACAATAATTTTAATAAAAATGGTTTCTATAATTTTTCTATAGTTGTTAGCCGAAATCATTTCTGCATTTTCCAAATATTTTGGCAACATTTTGGCTTTTCCATATTCTCTATATTAATGGACATAAAAAAACCACACAGCATTTTGGCTAATGAGCCAAAGAATTCAAATAATTTAGGATATAATTTTGGCCACTAATAAAATTAATTCTGGCTACTATGAAAAACTATTTCGGCACTTTGAATTCGGCGACAATCATTTACTAAGAGAAGCAATTTTGGCTAACAACTATGGTACAGACCTTTTGTTTATATTGTCATTTGATCCTTTCCTTGAGCATAATGAATAACACATATTTATCACCACTGATGTGTGCATGTTTATTACAACATTCATAATAATAATTAATAATGTAAAAAATATTCTATTCTAATTCACATTAATAAAATAAAAATTTGCAAGTCATTAATATATTCATCATCAACACATCTAATATCCCCTAACTATATTTTTATTATATGCATAGACATCTTTTTTCTGAATTTATTATTAATCTCAATTTCACATATATAATCGTATTTACTTGGGGTATGATATAATGGAAAACCAGAAATAGTTATTCCTGAAAGAATTCAAAAAATCAAGAATTTCATAATCAAGCATTTAAAATTTTCGACCAATAATCAATTCATAATATAAAACTATTGCAAATAAGTGTTTAATATATAATCTATATCTTATAATACATTTTTTTTATTAGCATCTGTAATATCAATCACTTTGCCAAGAAAAAAATCATGCAATAAAGTAACTAAAAATATAACTCATTAATATAAATTTCATGATCATGATTTTGCAATACAATTATTAATGATAAGGAAAAATTGTTTGCTTATTTTGTGCTTTCTCAGGTGTACTTATAATTTTTGGTTTCTTTATTAATTTATCTCCCATTGGTTTCTCTAAATTTCTCTTTCTGGTAACTAGCTTAACCTTCTTCTTACTGAGTTCAATAAGCATATTTTTCATTTCATCTAACTTCTTTTTGTATTCCTTTAATAAGAGATATGCAAGTTCCAAATTATATAGGTCTTCACGAGAAGAAGGGAGTAAAGCCTCATACATCAAAATCAAATGAAACAGGAAACCGGAAGAGGCAAAAGCATACACCCGAATCTTGCGACCTAGCTTCCATTTTGATTTAGTATTTATATATTTACTTATAAATTGCAGTATATCATAAAATTGTTCGTATTTTTAAATTATAATGCTTACCAACCACTATCAGACCCCACAATACCAATTCACTTATATCTACACCCGTCAAATGATCTCCTGCAATCACCCATAAGTCCCGGAGCTCTAATCCAAGTTAAGAGTATCTCCTCACTCTTTAGATAGTGAACAACGTGGAAGACCACCAGAAACTTCTAAACAGCCAATAACTGGAGTCGAACTAAATTCTGATATTCAAAATTTGCGTCCACCTTAAATCCAATTCATGCACGGTCGTTTGGGTCTCTTTCTTTATTTCGGCGTATGGCGGTTGCTTCCAGTGATTGTTCACCGCTAAATAAAAGGTAATAATGATTATAATAAAAACAAGATATTTTATATTTGTACAATTTACTTACTATTTTGCCCAAAAATAGCAATCTTTTCCTATCATTGCATCCAGCAAAGGAACGATATTGCGGAACGTATGTTCAACTTCAGATAGGTCATTCTTTCGGATCATTGTTATAGAATCAATTCTAAAGGAGATACACAACCATTAGATATTATGTTTCCGTAGGAGAACAAATTATATATCTATTGCGTTTAGAATGTTGGATTTTCTAAGAATATTATTGGATTTTTCTTCTTCATCTAAGGTATATGGATTGAACATTTGCTTGGATGTCGACAACTTTTTTACATCCATCTACATGACAACGATTAATTTCCATCGCATTTTATTTTAGCTATTTCATCATGACATCAAGTGAGACAAATAACGTGTAACGTAATTTTTGTGAAAATCTAAAAAATATATATATATATATACATATATCTTGCAACAGAATGTTGAAATTTAAAACCGAAGGCTTTAATGGGTACTCGGTTAGTTATAAATAAAATAACTCACTTTAGTTTTAAGATTATTAATTTGAAAAATAATATAAAATTTCTAGTTACAATTTAGTCCATTTTTTGAGAATAAAATGGCATGCGTGACAGCAGCAAATTTTGGATTGGTTGGTAATGGTAGATTATTTATTATTAATACCGGAGTTGGGCCGAATGGAATTGACCTTGAAAAATTGTAAGATTGTGAGATGATCATGTACTGCATATATCGACAAAAAAAATTTTTTAATGTTTTGATTTGAATGAATATTTTAGTAATTGCATATTTGATTTAGTTATGACACTCAAGATGGATTATTTGATTGTTGTTGGAGCGAATTAAATGAACATCAAATCGTAACAGCTAGTGGAGATGGATCAATTAAATTATGGGATATAACCCTTATGGTATAATCTTTAAAATAGCATTATCGTTATTATTACTTTACTTTTCTCTCACTTTCTTTAATTCTTTAATTTCTTTCCTCCTCGACTGCTTTAATTTCTTTTTGTTTTTTAAAAAAAATAAAGGAATTTCCTATAATGAATTGGCATGAACATTCTAGAGAAGTTTTTTCAGTGAATTGGAATTTAATAAAAAAAGATTGTTTTATTAGTGGATCATGGGATAGTTCTATTAAATTGGTATTTATTTAATCTAGATTTTTCAAAAAAAAAATAGATTTAAAACTTTTTCCTCTAATTTATTTGATTTATTGATTAGTGGAGGCCTGAATTAAGGCAATCAATATTAACATATAATGAACATACAAACTGTGTATATAGTACAATATGGTCACCATATAATCCTGATATATTTGGATCAGTATCTGGTGATCGGTTAATAAAAATATGGGATACAAAAGTTCCAACAAAATCTGTTCAAACAATTCATGGACACTTGAATGAAATACTTTCATTGGACTGGAACAAATATCAAGAAAATCAATTTGTGACAGGTTCAGTTGATAAAATCATCAAGCTATGGGATCTAAGGTTTCCCAATAGAGAGGTTATGTGTTTGATGGGTCATGAGTATGCTGTAAGAAGAGTTAAGTGTTCACCACATGATGGTAATATCATTGGAAGTGTGTCATATGATATGACAATGAAACTGTGGAATACAAGTTTGTCTAATCCTTTAATCGAAGTTTATGATGCACACACTGAATTTGTATTAGGATTGGATTTTAATTTGTATGTGGAGGGTCAAATTGCTACTTGTGCTTGGGATGAACATATACATATATTACAACCACCAGCTTTAACAAGAAAATCATTTGTTTAAAATATATATATTTGTTACTTTTAATTTTTTCATTATTATATTACTACAATTAATTTATTAATTTTTATAGTTTGGTTTTTTTAGGAATGTAAAAGTGAAAAGTTGTAAATATTTATAAATATTCTAGAAATCACAATTAAATTAATTCTAAGTTAAAAAATAATTAAATTTCTAAAAAAAATAAGACATAAAAAAGTCTATATTAATTAATTAATTAATTTATTTATTATTATTACTATCTATTTAAAAAAACCCCGTGAATAATGATAATAATGATAATTGGATAAAAATTATTAAACTAGTATTTGCAAATATAATTGTAGAATCACTTGTAGTATTTTGAGGATTATTACTATTGTTAGAAGGTGTAGCACTAGGTGTGGTGGTGATATTATTGCTGCTACTAGCATTAGAGTTAACATCATTAGGAATCTTGCTTTGATCAGTGTAACTACATTCTGGTGTACTACACAAACATTTGTTTTCAATAGGATCCCACCAAAGAGTATCACACGTAGTTGGTACACGATAACGTTTGGGATTTGTTGAATCAGGCACAGGATTATCCACAGTTGGTTGAACCTTAGGACACCCGTAACACGTACTCCAAACAGCAATATCAAAATTACAAGATTCCTTTAATCCATCATCCGCCTGACCATTTTTATCATCATCTAATCCGTTACATATTTCTTTTCCTACATTTGGTGTTTGACATTTGAATGGCGCATAGTCTTTAAGTTGATCAGCTGGCACTGGATTTTTCATCCATTGAAGTAATTGTTGATTGGTAACAAACCAGACATTTGGTTGAGTTAATGCCCAATCGAAAAATTCTTTAAGCATTTTGATAGATGGTTCAGGGCTTGGTCTTCCGGGGATTTCGGATAATTGAACTGGATGTAGGTAAACACCTATATAATAAACAAACAAACATTATTTGGTAAATATGAATAATAATATTTATCTATGTACTTTATTATTATTATATCAAAATAATTACCAAATGGAGTTTTTCCTTGTTTTGCATGACGATTAAAGTTATCTTTCAACCAAGTCATTACTTGATCTGGTGTGCCATCAAGCGTTGGATCCATCAAATGTGGAAGACTTTTCTCATCTATTAAATGAATTTTTTTTTAATTTTGTAAATTTTCAATCATTAACAAGCAAACAAAACTGACTGTTTCCTGTATAATTACCAATAAGACTAGACATGGGAATTTCAAATAATCCGGGATGTTTTACAGTGTCGCAAAAGCCTTTATCACAGTCATTATATAAACCATAATCTAATGTGTAAGGCCAAGTATCATCTGCGGCCAATGAAGTAGTTGATGTGTCATAAGCGAATCCATTTGTTGCTAAAACGTCAAACACTTTTGGTGTCCAATCAAGAAAAGGGTTACGGAATCCACTAATTTTGCCATTTGGTATGCCAGCAAACGCATTCAAGGCTTTTTTACATCCAATTATTTCCTCTGGTTTTTTTTTTATTGTTAAAAAAAAATTAATGGATTCGTAAATATATTATTAATTAGGAAGATGCTGGTGGTGATTATTAAAAACTTACTTGATGGATCTGGTGGTTTTTCGTTATGAGTCATTGTATGATCAGCGACTTCATGACCTTTTGCATACCATTCTGATACTAAAGAAAAATCTGTATAATTTATACTCACGTAAAATGTTGTCTTAATGGGACATCTATATATAGACAACAATCAATGTTAAAAATAAATCAAATTAAAAAAAATTTGTTAAATAATTATAATTACCCATTTGGGTTTTTTCTTTCTCCAATAAGATCATACGCAACTTTAATTTTTTTTAAAAGTTAAGAGATTTTTTTAAATTTTCAATTAATAAAAATAGCGCGTAAATTTGACGATATTTTCAAAATATCTACCTTTCACACTTCGGTCTTGAATTGAATCGTCTAAAAATCAACAATGATTATTAATATAATGGCGGTTAAATGAAAAGAATGAACATTGTAACTAAAAAGTTTTTTACCAAAAGTTAAAAGCACAAATTGTGGTGTTTTATCCAGCGTTAGACCGCCAGGAGGTGTCTGCGTGGCGCAGAAGCAATCAGGAGCTTTACATAGAGAAGCGTCACAAGCATAAGCAGCTTCTACTCGACTGTTATTATCAAAATTATTTATAATGAATCCAAATAAAGTGGTCGTGCACAATATAACTAAAGAAATTTTATTCGGCAGCAGCATTTTGTTTTTTTCTTTTTAAAAATTAATTTTATTTATATATTCTTCGAATTAAAAAAAAATTAAAATAAAATAAAATCAAGGGACATAAAACTCAAAGTAAACAACATATTTATATAAATTTTTATTTATATATTCTTTTTCGTTCATCTATCTTACGTATGATTAATTTAATAAACAACTTAATACTTTAAAAAATTGATCCACCGTTTAATTAAAAACTAATAAGCCGTGTAACGTTAATAATTCCCCAATTTGGCAAAAATTTAAATTTATTGCCGCTTTTTCGACGAATCCCTTCTCTCATGTTCTTTCTCTCAATTAATAAATTAAAAATAAATAAAATAAATAATTGGTTTGCTTAAAAATTTATGTATTAAATAAACACTACACATAATTATATGTATTAACAATATTGTATTTACGTGTGAATAACTTATTTTTAGTACCAGTTAAATTAAAAATATCTTGAATTTCAATTATTTCAAAACCTTCGTTAATTGTTTCTTTTCTATCATCACCATTATTACTATTGCGATTAGTATCATATGCTATGCACACACAATGTTCTTCATCTAAACAATGCTCTTCAAATCCCCACTCAACCTTCAATTCATTATTTACATAAATTTTTGTATTCTAAATAATCAATGATATCATAGTCACGAATTAGATCATATTATTATAATTCTACGAATTAATTATATAATAATATATTTACCTTTTTAATTTTGAGATTTTCTTCATTCTCATTCAATTTGAATTCAAATGAATTCAAAGCTAAATATAATCCAATTCCAACAGCTTTAACATAACTTTCTTTCAAGCACCAAAATCTATAAAATCTTTGCAATTGGTGAATTTCCACTTCCTCTTTGTTGTATTGTCGTTGTTGATTATTTACCAATAGATTAAATTCATTTTCTGTAAACTTTGAAAAACCATTTTATTATTAATATTGCTTATTTTTGAAAATAAATCGAAATCAAAAATAAATTGTAAAATTTTTACTTGATCTTTAAATGTGGTAATAAATTCTTTAACATTATAACCAGCATTAGGTTGTTCGATCTTCATTAAATCAATACCAATTCGACAATTTTCTCCAGCAACTAACACAACCCAATCACCATGATGTGAAATATTAAAATCACACAAAATATTTAATTTCGGATTAATCTTGATTAAAAAAAAATAAAAATAAAATTGTTTTTTGGAAAATAATTACACCATTATTGTTTTAGGAAAAAAAAAAAATCACAGTTTATTATTTTAGAAAGAATTTCAAAAATCATTTTACCAAAATAGGTTTATTATATTCTGTTCTATCAAATTCAACTTCTCTATAATCAATTCCATAAATTCTATTAAATAATAATATCATCAATAATCTTCCAATTAATGAAGACTTTGAATTTTCTAAAACTTTAATTTTTTTGATTTTCTCTCGTTCATTAGTTTGTATAAGTGATAACAATTGATCGTATTCTTTAGTTGTAGGAATCCAATTTTTTGTATTAAAAGCCCATCTTGCAATAATTTTTGTTTCGATGCTTTTAAACATTTTTTTGTGAAATTTTCTCTGAATTTCCGAGAAATGTTTTTTGAATTTATTTTATAACGTTTTTCCCAAATGATAAATAATATTAACATGAAAATAAATTGCTATTATCATTATCATTATTACATTCTCTTATTATAATCCTTTTTAAGCATTGTGGAACAATTAAAAATAAATACAATCCATAAAGAAATGTTTTATTTAACCAAAACTAATTTATTAGCTTGTTTTTAAGTTAATATTTAAACCTTATTACAAAAAAGTTATTTTACAAGTACACAGTGAATTTCGATTTGGCAGATACTAATTAAAATCTCGGTTTTATGGATAAAGTTCAAAGAACGGGTTCATAATAAACCTTAATAAAAACCTTTTCGATAGAGATATCTCGGTTTAACAGATTTTTGGAAAAATTTCCCAAACTATCTGTCAAACCAAATTTTACTGTATATGTCGAATTCAAGCTTCTTGTATATAATTAATTAATTGGTAGCCATTTCATTGCGATCTAGCACTCTAGTACTTTAAATGAGATATAACCTTTTAAATACGATATAGCACTTTAATTGCGATATCGTGAATCCTAAATAATAATAAAGTTAATATTAACTAAATTACTAGAGGTCGAATATTCGTTCAACATCCGGATAATCATTTGGTATGAATAATTAAAATTGTTAACAAAAAATTATTAATCATTTTACATTCTATCAAAATTATCAATCAAAAAAACCATTTTTTCAAATCAAAGTGGATTGAGTTTTGTTCTTTTTGAATTTCCAGCTTGACTAAATAATCTTTCATTTGGGGTGGACGTTGCAGGTATTTAGTAGCTTTGACAAAACCAGAAATTATTTTTATTATCATCTTTCAATATCCAGCTCGACTTCTTGGAACCTTTTACTTCAAAATATGAGCTCCTCCCCTCTCGTTATTATATATTACCTTCTCCTATTATAGCTCTTCTTCCATTTTTTTGAGGTGAATCTATTTGGACATGAGAAAATTTATTTCAATTACACGAGATTTTGATTATCAGTTATTCATAATAATAAATAAAAAAATCAATATCCGGTTAACCAAATATTTTACTGGATGAATATTATTCATTAGGTACAACCTCTACTAATTACGACAAGTGTTGGGGTCATATCCCATTTTCGTAATTGGTCATGTGGTCATATGACCATTGGTAATTAGGTCATCAGGTCATAATTTTTGACCAATAGAAACTTGTAATTGAAAAAAATCTATTATTATTATTATTATAAAATATCTATGTATTTATACATAATGAACATTTTTGTTCTTTAGATTGTTTTTCTCCTAATAGGTTCATAATTTAAATAATGATAAAGTGTTTTTCTGCTGCAAAGTAATATGGAATTGTAAATGCAAAATCACAAGGCAATTATAAAAATATTTATTATGAAGAATATAAATGATAAAGAACTATTTCTAAAAGATAGTCAAGAGAAAAGTAAAGAAGCCATTAATGAATTAAATAAGAAGTTTGAAAAATGTAAATTTAAATGTTAGCTAGATTTCAGTGATACAGGCAGAATGGTCTACCTATGAAAATTAATTTATTAATTGAAAAATTTGCCATTCACCATTAGAAGTATTTTGAAAAGGGACAAGATGAAAAAATTGTGCCCTACATTTTTAAATTAGCAGATACTAAATCCTTGCAAACATATTTAGATAAAGAAATGATTACTTATGAAATTTACCAAGAAAGAAAAATCATAACTGGTAAAGAACTTTAACATAAAATTATGAAGTACCTAGAAAAACAAAAAGTAGAAGAAAAATAATAACTAACCAATTGTCAACACTTTATACTGGTTTTCACAAATGAGTGAACATTTTTGTAAAGGTATTCTTGCCTTTTGTGATCCAAAGGAGAAGGTATTAATACTAAAATAAATAAAGTTTTAATTTCTTTTATAACTTTAGAAATATCTGTTTTTTTTTTTAGTTTTCAATAAATTGAATTCAGTAAAAGGTCCATTAGCAACCTCCCGCCTGAGTTTCAACATCATCAGGACCAGATGCTTCAAAAGAAAACGTTGATACTTTTAAACTTAACTAATTGTAACAAATTAAAGAAACTTATTTGCTCAAACAATAATTTATCAGACTGCCAAATTTCTTCTCTAGCTGAAAAATTGATTTATTTAGATGTCAGGGATAATGATCTTTGCAAACCACTTAATTTTTTAATTTTTTCTTGTGCTGAATCAGACAAATTGACATTTTGTTGAATTAAACCTCGGGAAATATTTATTTTTCTGATTATTATTCTTTTCAAGATGCATGAAATTCAGTTATTAATACGTTTGCAAACTAATTAGTATACAAATTTTCTTTTTATTTAAATTTCCTATGCTTCTGAAAACAAATTGTATTAATAATTCCTGCCACAAATTTAATCATCACATCATTGATAAATGTTGCATTTGTTTACAAAAATTTTTGAGCTACAATTTAGTTGCCTTTTTTGTAGAATGAATTGTCATTTTTGGTAGGGTTCTGTAAATTCCATAAAAAGAACCTTTCTGTATATAATATTTTCCTTTTAAAAAAGTTACGAAAGGGTCTCTTTACTAAAAATTATATCAAAAGAAAGCTCAAGATTTTTTTTAGAAGCATGCAAATATTAGCTAGTGGTGGTAATATAAAATAAATCTTATGTGGAACCTACACAGGGTTCAAAATTAACAAGAATTATGTTGAAATTTCAGGAATGCTGGTAACACTTTTGCATAGTACTGATTAATTTTGAACCCTACCTAGAAAATAGATTTTAAAGGTGATTATAATTTATAAATGATAAAATAGACAACTTGCTGAAAAAATGTCCATTGATTATGATTATTTACCATTTTTCAAATGACTTGGTCAAAAATTTATAATAAAATAGAAGTAATTTTCCAACATCGAGATAATGTAAGAATGCAAGTGTGCATGTTCCGTTTTCTTTTAGGTCATGAAAAGTTCCAATGCAATATAAAGGAATGAGAGCCCATGATGTAGTAGTATTTTTATTGCCCTTGAAAGTCACTTTTGAACAAACTGTACCATGACTTCTGTATCCTATGACTGCATTTGTTATCACCAAAGAATTTGTATTTTCATTATTATCATCATCATGCTTGATTCGAATATTCAAGTATTCAATGGTTCAATGGTTAGAAATATCCTATCCCAAAATTATTGTTTCGAACCCGATTTGAAAATGAACGCTCAATCTTACCAGTAATCTATAAATAATTGCACCAAACAATTATTTAGAAGTCTAGTAATATTTCTAGCCAGAGAGAGACATATGGGTTTAAAAAACCAAGACATCACGTGCTGTGCCATTTTCAGAAATTTTACTTTTATCCTTAATTTTTGTACGTTATAACTTAACAACAATAAAGCTTTGAAAATATGTTTTCCGATACAAGAAGCAGTTATAAAAGGCATTTCTTGCTATGTATTCTTAACAACATTAACGAGTTCATTAAAATATGAGCGGGTATTTCTTTTTACGACGTTTATGTCTCTCTATTGAAGATTCGTGAACAAACACGAGAATTAAATGTCATAAACTTATATTTAGACAACAGCTGACAGACAATGTAAGTTTAAATTTAAAATTTAATAGTTTATTTGGGTTTGTTTAATTATTTGATAAAACTGTACATAGTGAATCTCGATTTAGTAGACCTCGATTTAACAGATACTAATTAAACCTCGGCTTTACGGATAAAGTTTAAAGAACGGACGGGTCCCGATATAGCGGATAACTCCGTTTAACGGATTTTTGGAAAATTTCCCTAATTGCCCAAAGTATTTGCTAAATGGAGATTCACTGTTTATTTGAATATAACCAACTGTTATTTAATTTAAATTTGAGTTTTCCGGTCCCAATAAAATTTTGGAAATTAACAACACAGTTTTATTGTGTAGAAATGAAATTCTTTATCAGAGATGTTTTAATGGTATTTAATTACATACATGTGGGCCCTGGCATATTTTGCGGCAAGGATCACGAATTCTATTTATAATTAGTATAATTAAAAAAACGTCAACAAAGACGATAAATAGTAAATAAACAAACCTGTGGTCTAATTTAAGTGCGACACAAGTTAACCACGTAATGGTCCATAACATTGCATATAATAAACAATAATAATAACATAATGAAAACTTTATCTTTCTCAATTTACAGCGGTGCGAGTAAGAAATAAAAGAGGAATACAAAAACCACAAGTTAGTAGTCATTGTAAAAACAACAGGTATGAATTAGCAGACCTATTTACAAATCAAGTCTATACTCTTAATGATTATATCAATATACCATAAAACGCACCGGAAAACTCTACAGAAATATCTTTGATATGTAAGAGAATTGTGGGAGGAAAAGTTGTCAGTCAAAAGTAATTTCAAAAGCCCAAATTGGTTTAGGCAATTTGGGCCCCTGAATTTTTTTTTTTATATAAGATACAAAAACTAAATAAAAAAATTTCGCCTAACATTAGGGATGTCAACTCTCTCACTAGATACTTGCTAATACTAAGAGAGGTAGTTAGTTGCTTTAACAAGTTATTAAAACATGTATTAACTTAATTAATAATATTAAAATGTGTTTTGATCGCCTGTTACAGTATTTAATTAATTCTTGTCAAACAAATAAATACTTTACCCGAATTTGACAAAATATAAATAAACACAAAATTCATTTATAAAATTTTATAAAAAATAAACCAAATCTTTCCTTTCTTTTAATAAACATTTTCACATTTTATATATATATATAAATATATATACATCGTCACCTTTTAATCCGTCATAATAATCATTCATTAAATCGAAATAGACAGATTGATTGACTGGTTAACATTACATTCATTTAGTTATTTCAAATAGTTTTTTTTTGAGCAAAAATATGCGGTTTTTTGGTCAAAAAAAATGACATTATCATTATTATTTATCCCTAGAAACCGCAAAGTAGATTTTGATGTTGAAATAATAATAGAGGAACTTTTAAATGTTCCTTTAATATCAGGACTCTATTATGTAAAATGGAAATTGAAACATGGATCAAAATCAAATAAGATGACTCATAGGTATTATAATAACAAGTGATGATGATGACAATGATGATAATATAAGCAATAATAATAATGTTTCGTTATTACCAATATTATTTTAGAGCACCTGTTAAAGATCATTCAGTGCGTTGGCAGTATAAATTACAAGATAGAGTACAACTTGTTATAGGCAAAGATAATTTCTTATTACCCTGCGCGTTGTCTCTATCGATAAAACAGGTAATTTGATAAAGAATTTATAATTATAGTTATGGTGACTTGAAATATGCTGATTGATTTCGAATAATTAGGAGTTAAATGGTGGCAAAGAAATCAATAATATTGGAAGATTAAAAATCAATCTTTCTGAATATGTTGGGTCCACTGTAATAACCAGACACTATTTATTACAAGAAAGTAAGATTAACTCTACATTAAAGGTAAATAAATATTTTAAAAAAGTTTATTTATTTATTTATTTAAAAGGATTCGCTCATGTATATCTATATTTACACTATTATTATTATTATTATTATTATTATTTAGCTGTCAATTAATATGAAGAAAGTTTTTGGAGATTTTTTCTATAATGTGTATTTATCATTTATTGTTTAACATTGATTATTACCATTATTATCCTTTCTCTAAGAAAATTTAATTTATTTCAGACCTTCGTTAAAGAAAACTCAAATATATAGTGGTCTTACTGGAATTATATCAGATCGTGATGTAGAAGATGATGAAGTATCAAGTAATCTTATTTATTTGAAAATAATTTTTTATTTATATAATAATTTCATTTTTTTTACTTATGGTATATTCAATTTAAATGTTAATAGTTGTTGGATTAAGTTTTAATTTTGAAGAACATTACTTGGTAAAATCTAGATCAACATCTTCACTGGTAAGACCTTCAAATAAATATTAATTCAACTTTTTTAACCAATGACTGATTGATTTAATTAATAACCGACCAATTAAATTCTTTTGGAACCATGCAGAGATCTGCTTATTATGCACAAGCAAATCACACAACACCAATAACTTCATCATTGGCAGCAAATAATTTTCTTCTTAGTGTTGGTGGCAAATCCTCAACTGATGTTATTGAAGAAATATTTAAAGGAAATGATCCTAACAATGTTAAAGACGATGACATGCGTAGTATTTCAGGACATTCAGCATTTTTCTAATCAATATTTATATATTTTATAAATAGAATGTATAATAAACAAACTAGAAATATTATTATAAAAATCATACCACGTCTTCTTTTAACAAGACTCTGCAATAATTCCAGAGTCTTTAAAATAAATATTATTTATGTTGTTTTTATTATGGTACACTATATCTAAAACATGGAAATCTATTATTTCTAACTTTGTGAAAATTTTATTTATGATAATAAAATTTATCCATAATAAATATTTTCTATCGAATGTGAATTCGTTCATATTCATTTTTGGATAGAATTTAATAATAATAGTAATAATATGCTATATACTATAATATTATAATAATATAATAATAATATTTAGTCGCACCATTCATTTTCTTTACGAACTTGTTCTTCTTCTTCAGGTGTAAAATCATTCTCAATATTAAAAGTCCTCCTAATTTCTTCGGGTGATTTGCTTTTAATCATATTTGCAACAGTTTTACATGCAAGATCAAGAAGAGGCTTTATATCTAAATAATTTGCTGCCTATTGAACATATACAATAATGCCAATCGGTAAGTGAATAGTGTGTGTGTTATATATATAAATCAATCAATTGATTTATTTAAAAAAAAAAGCAATCACCAAAATCAATTCGAATAATGTTCCCTGATCTACTTTACAAAATTCAGCGTCCCAATCATCAATATCATCTGCTGTTGATGACCTCTTAGAATTGTCGTCCGTAGTTGTCATCAGTTCATCACGATGATGCGTACAATACTCAATTACTTTAGTTAAAATAGGTCCAGTAACATTCGGCAAAGGTATTGCTGTTGTTGTTGTTGTTGTTGTTGTTGTTATATTGTTATAGAAAAAGAAATATTAATAAAATATTTCGACTGGTTAATTTCAGCTAGCTAAACAATATTTTATATGTAATATTATTTACACACGAGATCTAAAATTCAGATATATATTATATATATAACTTACACATGTCTTTTTCGCCAACATCATCAAGCATATTTTTTAATAAAATTGACTTTTCAGCTATGATTCTTTCAACTTTGAACTCTGTTCCTTCGGAAGAAGTTAATTTAACAAGTTTTTGTCCTACTGTCATTTTTTTAAATTCTTGAAAAGAATGACTGAATAAAAATGAATTAATATTATTAATATGTATATTTGGCTCACAATTTATATAATGCTCGATCATCAATTATTATTACTTTTTTTATGCAGTTGAAAATAGTAATAAAATTTTCACGCAGCAACAATTCCAACCCATTTTCCAGGAGAAACTCATAAATATTATGGAAACATATATTTCAATCAAATAAAAATTCCTCCAAACTCTACAAACAATGCTTGTTATTATCGTTTCCTCAGGGATTCGGAGGATATGAATATTTACGAGACAACTTCCACGGGTTACTTAGCAAAAGTTTAGCACCAAAAGGATCTGGAGGGAAAGTGTCAGATTTCAAACGCGCCAACGTTGCATCGTGGTTATTTGGTTGTTTTTAGGTGGTTGGTAGAAAGTGCAGATGCAATTGTTGATTTAGAAGATCAAACTGGTGAGGTAAGATAAAATATAAAGATAAATAAATTTATCTATTTATTGTACTCTTTATTGTACGTTATATATAATTTTATAGACTACGTTATTAAAAGCATCATATAATAGACATCTCTTGCAAAGAGATGCAGCTGTGTCACAAAAAGTTAATTATGGATGGACATCATTACATAATAAGGATATTTGCATATAGTAAAGTATTTGGTAGAATCTCCCAATGGTGTTAAAAAGACTAGCTCTTGATTCATGGATTACATTTAACCAACATATAGAGTTTTAAATAATATTCTCTTTTTAACCAGATGGAACATGGAAAATTTTTAAAGATGTAATTTCTTCTATGAGCGAGAATTTAACTTTATCATCATCTTCTTCTTCTTCGACCACTTTTCCAAAAAACCTCCAACGGGAAAAATTCTTAAAATTAAACCTTACCCTAATCAGAAGAAAAAACAATATTAGATACACCAAGCCGCAATTTAATCATTGAGTTAACAGTGTGATAGATCAAATAAGGAAATACACAGGATGGAAAAAAAATTATATCACTAATATAAAGACACTAGCCTTAAATGTGGCTTTACACATTAGGGATGCAGCAATGATTGTCCTTTTTAAAAAATTATAAGTCAAATATTGCTTTAAAAAAAGGAAAAACTTTAAATTGAATTCTGATCCAAAAAAAGGATAAATTACCATTCTATCAAGAAAATGGGAAAGAAACCGCGGTCATTATTAAATATTGAAACATTTGAAATAAATTATGACCTTCGTCTCATTAGTGATCGATCCGTGGTAAAAAAAATCCCGTCATATAATAGCTTTTTTAAAAGGCTAGCGGATTGCGGATGAAATTTATTATTACTAATACAAAAATTAATCGGTAATTGAATTCTTAATACTGGTATAATACCCGGATGATAAATAATGCTAATACTTGTTTAGATATGAAATTCGATCATATGCGGAAGCATCCTTACTTCGTAAGACCCACACAGAAAATCATGGAAATTTACATTTGTGTTAACGCATTATTTGAGACCGCGCCGGTCACAATAAATAAATATAAATATAAACCAAACTCGATAAATTATCTCGTGGTACATCAACCCTTACACTTTGATGCTAAATTTCGAACAATGTGGTATATGGTGCACGGAAAATAGAAACAGCCCTAACCGCAAAATCTCAATTTTGGATTAATAACATTCTTATATGTAATTTTTTACAAAGGGTTGATTTTAGCTTAGGAACTATACCTACTTTGATTAGTAAAGTTGAGATATTTAAAGGAAGATAGCAAATCATATAAGAACCAAAAAATCAGGGCTTTACTAAAATAAGCAATGATAGATGCAAACCCAGGTATTTGGTTTAAAATAATCATTTAGGAGATGATCGGTAATAGTTGCAACACATGTTTTATATACAGACTGGCTCGTCACCTGACTTTAACTCAATTGTATGCCACCAAAATCAATTGTACAACAATATCAACAATATATTCTAATCCCTCGCCTTCTATTTTATGGATTGTAAAAGTAATTCAGTAAAAGGTGAATTAATTCAGACATTAGCTATAAAAGTCTTTTTGGATTTGGCGAATCATATGTTCACTGAAAATAATAAACTTAAATTAAATCATTTAACAACGGTTAGGGACCATAAATAATACTAATAGAAAGCCCATGTTCTCTTAATATTCTGGTTAGTGATTTGAATAAGTAAAATGTTTATTTAAATTATTCTTTTATATTTGTTAGAAGGTACATTTATAAACGTTAATCATAATTCTTATAGTTCTACATCATGTCATGTAAAGGATTACTGAACCAAAAGAAGACATGAGTTGGTTATAATATTTAATATTTAATATATTCAATAGAGAAGAATTATGTAATGATTTAATATATCACAAGTAGTGAGTAAATGATACATTCATCATATAGGATATGCTGCCTCAAACCATAGGCGTACTTTATTACATTGTAATTATAGCAAGGGTTTTCATCCCCTAATTTTTTCACTGAATTATTATTTATCACCAATTACAAAGCAATATTAAAAAATCTTAACAATGATTGACATATTATAAAAATTATCCAATCAATTTCTTTATGGATCAACCAATCACCGCTATGTTATCATTTATATTATTTATATTAATATATATTGTTATTATTTTGTTTGGAAAACTTATAACTGAATTTTTCGGTCAAAATCTCTTTTTTGATTATCTCAAAATCATGATTTTGCAGTTAAAGCTGTTTCTATTTTTCATGACCCATATTGTTTTTCTTCCTAAGTATGATACAAATAACTTTTTTTCATTAATTACAATATGGCCTCCACCTCTAAACAATTAATCATGAAAAATATCCTAGTCCTATTTATGAACACATTACTTCATATTTAAAAGATAACAAAAAACAAATCTTACTATAGTTTTTTGCTTCATTATCAAAACGAAATCGTTTCTACCAAGGTTGGCAAATTGACTGGTCCATTTCCATTAATAAAATACTGAATATGGTTAAAGCATTATATTAATGAACCCAATGGACCACCAATAGACCATCAATGGACTGCACATTTGCCAACCCTGGTTTCTACCATCCACCTATTCCCTGTTGGGAGGATCTCAATAACTTATGGACTACCAACTTTGTAAACGTGGCAAAAAGACTTGGTGAAGATTTAAATGGAGTGGAAACGACATAATTATGTCGTTTCCACTTAGTCTAGGTTATTCCCCCTCAGGAGTGATGAGCGTTTTGCATTTGCCTCATCATTCGAGTGACGAGCGTTTTGCATTTGCCACGTCATTCGAGACTGTGGCTATTTTTTGTATATCAAATTGGTGATCCCGGGTGATTTAAAATACAAGGCGCTCAGTGAGTTAGGTTATGAAGGAGTGACGTGCGTTTTGCATTTGCCTCGTCATTCGAGCGCAGTCGATCGCAAAATTCAAGTCATGATTGATAGATGGCTTGAATACCCTTTTGAAAGTCAAATTCGATATCAATAATGTTTTAATCACTCATATAAATTTTCGTATATCGGTTTAGTGCTTCTAATCGATTTCCGTTATAAATAAATCCCCGAATTAGGTTATGACGTAGCATCATAGTCCTTCTGCGTTTTCTATTATAACCCAAATTCGATAGCATTATTTGTATACCGATTTGATAACCGTGACTGATTTCCGTTGTAATAAAATAACTGAGGTAGGTTATGAAGTAGTGTAAGCATCGTCGCGAGTTTGATGGGTCAAACATATTTTATACGTCATTTGATATCATATGTCAGCTTAGTGATCTTGGTCGATTTCTGCATTTTCAGTCTCCGCCATGTAACATTCATGATCATCGTCAACATGTGTGGACGGTCACCTATAAGTAACACTTCAGGAAAATGCTGATTTTGATTGCTGAAATTTTTGACACTAATACTAATTAGCATTAGAAATATGTCCTGAGAACATAGCATGGAAATGTATGATTTCGCTCACGTTAATGGCATGTTATATCGAAGTATGCTGAAATTTTTGTCACAAGTTGACACTAGATGTCACTAGTTGTTTGCAGGTACTTGTGACAGAACTTGTGACAGTTGTTTGAGAGTTTTGAGCCTTTTCGTTTCTCTCTTGATTACTTATTTATATCTGTCACAAGTTACTTAAGTAAAATAGTAGAATTCTAAAGAAAAAAAAAAATCTTCACTATGGTATACCTATAAGATATATACCTGATACTAACCCATGTTATATGTACTATATCTAATTGCAAAGCACTGAGCTTCGTCCTTACCCAATACTTACCTATGTTATATTCCTGATACCTACATATGTTATATGCGCATATACATATGTTATATACCCGATATATACATACCTTTGATACATATACATATGGTGTACCCATAGAAAAAAAAAATAAGGTAGGAATCGACAAATCAACCTAAGTAACTTGTGACAGTTGTGACAGTTATCGAGAACAGTTTTTTTCGAACTCAGACTCTCAAGAACATACCTTTCTACTGATTTTTTTACTTGTGACGAACTCGTGACAACTTGTGACAGCCAATATCACTATGTATTTTCTCCAAGTACTTCTGATTTTTGTGCCATCTTCTCCAGCTTCTTCTGTTGATTATACTCTCTTCTACGATGTTTCTGTGCATGGGGGTCACAATAACCATAATTGGAATAAGTTAACTTAACACAACCATATTCTTTACAAGGATAACGAATAGGTGAATCCCGGTGAACTTTGCACCCAT